GAATAATAAAATATATATATATATAAAAAAAGTCTAATAGCAACGCTGCTGCTCCCCGCATGTGAATGCTATCATGCACTTGGGCACGCATGTATATGTAAACATCGATTGCACCACACATGTTTGGTATCGCTGTGAGGGAGGGCGATAATTCTAGGGCCATAATTTGCTGTTAACTCTAAAGGTGCCCATACACTGCTCGGTTCTCGTACGAGAATCGCGGGAAATCCAGCGATCGTACGAGAATCGAGCAGTGTGAACGGAGACGTGCGACCGTTTCTACTGTACTGTCGCACGTCTTCCGTCGAACCAGCATGTTCGAAAACCAGCCGGGAATCGTACGATTCTTGGCTGGTTAGAACGGTGCTCGGAAGACAAATGCCGAACGGGCCGGTGTGCGCATGCGCACACTGCCCGTTCAGCATTGCGGTCATCGGAAGCCCGCCCCTCAGGGGGGCGGGCTTGCGATGATCGAGAGTGCGATCTGCCTGTCCAAGATAGGCAGATCGTACGTTTTTTTAATCCCTGTACAACCATCGCAAGACTGAAGTCTTGCGATGGTTGTAGAGTGTATGGCCACCTTAAATTGATGAGCCGTAAAAGGTTTTAAGCTTTTGACTATGAGCAATTTAGAGTTTGGCACTATTGCACAGGTGCACACAGTTTCAAAGCTTGATATATTTGGTATCTATTTACTTAATGTGACCCCATTATTATTAGTTTCCACACGTTGGGTATTATATTGTACTTTCCTAAAAATATCAATTTGATAAACATTTGTGCAGCTGCCATCTTTTTATTTTACAGCTCCGCTGCTTTCAGAAAATATACATTTGATGAGTGGGTGGGATAGGGGGTAAAGCAATTTGCCAAATTGATATAATTGCCCCACCCAGTCCTGAAGTGGCAGCTAAATCCCTCTGTCCCTCTTTGGACCAGTTCACACCTAAGCACTGTGCAAAACAGACAATACTGTGCATTTAACGCATGCTATTTCACAGTAGTACCTAAGGTGCAGTACTATAAGTACTATCCTTGTCGTACTCCTTACTGATATGTCCCTTGTAGTGGGAGGTGCTCGCAGTGACTTAAAGTTTAAAGCCTGATGAAGGGACCCTGTGTGGTCCTGAAAGCACTTGTTGGTCATAGGACAAAACATTTCAATAAATGAAGCTTTTGCTATCCTAAAAGGTGTGGTGGTGACATTTCTACAATTTTTAAGGTGCAGTACTGTCGCAACGACCATGTGTTGCAGCACAACTCGCTATACTCCATCACCATGCATTGCATTGAGGTGTGAAAAAGTAAGGCATGCACCGCAGTGCATGGTTTAGCGGTACCACGCATGGCTCTACAACACAGCGCCACCAGGAGGTACGTCAGGGCACTGTTCAAATGAATGTCAAAGCAGCACACCCAGTGCAGGATACAGCATGCTAGGTGTGCTGTGCAATATTGTGGGCTAAACACACCTTATCTTTGAGTTCAAAGTTTAGGTGTGCACCAGCCCTTACTCCTCAGTAAGGATGGGCTCGGGCGTGTTCGCAGCTCCATGTGCCGAGCCCGCCAGGAAGCTGACAGCGTGCAGCGCCAATCACAGGCACTGAAACATTTCCGATCTCTGCAGCTGCGGACCGGGAAAATGTCTCATTACCTGTGATTGGCGCTGTCAGCTTCCTGGCGGGCTCGGCACGTGGAGCTGCGAACACGCCCGAGCCAATCCTTACTCCTCAGATGTCCCTCTTTCTGGTCTGATATTTACAGCTCTGGTACTTACAGCTAAACCTCCACTGCAAGGGTTAAGTGTTCATTTTGGTCGAGGGTGTAAAATAAAGAAGATATACTCACCTGATCCTTGGTCCCGTGACAATGACTGCTAATGACTCTTCCCCTCCGCTCCAGCTGTGGTATGTCCCTCGGTGTCTTCACGTCTAATAGACTGTATAGATGTGATGACATCACGGGTCATTAGAATGCCAGAGCCTAGGGGAGAAGAGGTTGCAGGGACCGGTCTAGCAGCCAGACAGGAATAAGGATCAGGTGAGTATAAGCTCTCACGGCAGAGCCCCCTAACCATTTTGTTTTGCGTTGTATTGTAACTGTAATGTCTTCTTTATATTTTAAAGCACTTCGAAAACGATTGGCTCTATATAGAGTATAATATAAATAATAATAATCCGCACTGACACTACATAACACTAACTTCCACTTTAACCTGCAGCAGCAACAAATCGCTTCTAAGAGTCAAATCTTCACCGACCATGGCGATAAAATAGCTAGCTAGAGCTCGCTGTCAATTGCGGCTACAAAATCACCAGCGTGACATGGCCCATGTTAGTTATGATACCTTATCATCAAAGACATATCTGATGCTAGGTGCACTCAGGGAGTCAGTGATTGTGGAGTTACATTGTGTGTCACAGATCAGCTTTGGAGCTCCACACAGGACATGATATGATGTGACATTATCAGTGGCGTCACAAGGGGGGTGCAGCTGGCGCCGAGTGACACCATCGGAGGGGATGTCACCCCCTATGAAAAGACGGGCCCTCCGTCATGGTAAGTTGCACGAGAGAGAAGGGGACCCAGCAGCATACCTTATCCAGCCAGGCGAACGTCCCCTCCTCTCTTTGGTGACGGATGCCGGCAGGTAAGCGCGCTTGACATCATTACGCACATGCATGAGGACGTCACATGATTATGTCCCAGTGGGGTGTCACCCGGCAGCTGCTTCGGATGACACCACGCCTGGGCAAGCCCCTGGACATTATATGACAGTATATGACATTATTTGACACAATATGACATTATATGACATGACGTAACATGATATGATATGACATGATGGGACATTATATGTTATGACATTATATGATATTATATGACATGATATGACATTATATGATGTGACATGATATGACATGATGGGACATGATATGACATGATGGGACATGATATGACATTATATGTTATGACATTATATGATATTATATGACATGATATGACATGACGTGACATGATATGACATGATGGGACATGATATGACATTATATGATGACATTATATGATATTATATGACATGATATGCCATGACGTGACATGATGTGACATGATATGACATGATGGGACATGATATGACATTATATGATGACATTATATGATATTATATGACATGATATGACATTATATGATGTGACATGACGTGACAAGATATGATATGACATGATGTGACATGATATGACATTATATGATGTGACATGACGTGACATGATATGATATGACATGATATGACATGATTGGATATGATATGATGTGACATGATATGACATGATTGGATATGATATGACATGATGGGACATTATATGACATGATTGGATATGATGTGACATGATATGACATGATGTGACATTATATGACATGATTGGATATGATATGACATGATGGGACATTATATGACATGATTGGATATGATATTATGTGACATTATGACATGATAGGATATGATATGATGTGACGTTCTATGACATCTTGCTACATTGTAGTATTCCTCTGTGTATTTCCGATACATTGTAGCGATGAGCGGTGTGTGTCCTGCGATCACCTGGGAGAGCAGCGATGTGATTCTCGGCCCTCCTCGGACTCTCCCGGTGATGACAGGTGGGTCTCCTCCCCTTTAGGGGCTGGTTATGTCGGAGGAGGAAGTCGGAGGGAAGGAGGAGGGCCCGCAGTCAGTAAGTGCACGGACGGTGAGAAGAGTGCGGCGGACATCGGAGATGAGCTGAGGAGATCTGGACAGGTGAGGAGCGGAGAGCAGAGGGGGGGATCCCGGGCGGTGATCAGCTTGCTGTCCTCGTTTCCCTGTGTTATGTAGTCAGGAAAGTTCTCCAAGTCTTCTCTTCTCCTAAAACTTTCTGCTGTGTAAAGCCAGTATATGACCAGAGGGTCTGCAGGGGGGCATGTCATAGGATCCTCATGTGGGTCACAAGTGGGGGTTATGGAACTGTGGGTGATAACCATCACCACACCACTGATTAGGTTGGATGGATCTTCTTCATTTCATATGCTGTTCACCTTTTGTTGTTGTAGTGGAAGTGAATGGAGATATAGGCAGCAATGGGAAGGTCGGGTGCAAAAGGCATTTTGTATTTAATTGGATATAGCCACTTCTCCAGATTACTGCCCCATAGGTGTTATTGAGGTGATACCCAACTTACCCAATAGGTATTAATGTGGTGATCCTCAACTTGCTCCATAGGTGTTATTAGAATGATCCTCAACTTGCCCCGTAGGTGTTATTAGAATGATCCTCAACTTGCCCCACATGTGTTATTAGAAGGATCCTCAACTTGCTCCATAGGTGTTATTAGAATGATCCTCAACTTGCCCCACATGTGTTATTAGAATGATCCTCAACTTGCCCCACATGTGTTATTAGAAGGAGCCTCAACATGTCCCACAGGTGTTATTGGAATGGTCCTCAACATGTCCCATAGGTGGTATTGGAATGGTCCTCAACATGTCCCATAGGTGGTATTGGAATGGTCCTCAACATGTCCCATAGGTGGTATTGGAATGGTCCTCAACATGTCCCATAGGTGGTATTGGAATGATCCTCAACATGCCCCATAGGTGGTATTGGAATGATCCTCAACATGCCCCATAGGTGGTATTGGAATGATCCTCAACATGCCCCATAGGTGGTATTGGAATGATCCTCAACATGCCCCATAGGTGGTATTGGAATGATCCTCAACATGCCCCATAGGTGGTATTGGAATGATCCTCAACATGCCCCATAGGTGGTATTGGAATGATCCTCAACATGCCCCATAGGTTTTATTGAGGTGATGCCCAAGATGGCTGGATTTGATGTTCTCTTTTGCTTTCCTGGCACACTAAGGTGATGCGCTAAAATATTCCTAACTGCAGCTGAGTTTTGAGAACAGGAACAAAGAAAGGGATACTCGATGCATTGTTGGTTTTTCCTATGAACAACAAACTTTTCTTCTGTTTTTTGCAAGTTGGTCTGAGAATATGTGTCTCTAAATTTAGACTAGACCTGCACAAAGGGCACCCATGTTGTACCAACACAGGGGTACAGTTTAAAGCCTAACCCTGGGCATGATCATTTTATTGTCAATAGATCTAAGTAGTTTCTTCAAACTGCTGTAAAAGAGCTCAGACGCTGCAACTGTGTGTTTGGTGAATGGGACAGTGGGGAGGAAGGTGGCGACACAACACCAATATTTGTCTCTGAGACCTGCACCTATCTGGAACAGACAAGATGTGCAGCTATTCTAGGAAAGCTAAGGGCCCATTCACTCCAGAGGGTGTGCATAACGTGCACCCACTGGTGTGCATTGTGCATGTGTGCTGCAATGTGTTGAATGCATCGCAATGTTTTTTTTATATTTCATTAACTCTGTGAACCTGACAATTTCTTTAACTCAATGGGCAGCAGTGCATTGCAATGTGCTATAGTGTGTTGCAACTTGCTGCATAAGAATGCAGTAGGTCTTTTTATTTTTTATCACACACCAATGCAGTGATCATTGCAGCCCAACGAGGCTGGTGTGAATGAGCCCGAAAAGCGTTCTCCTCTAGTAGTATATGTAAATAAATGGCACCTCTGTTGATAGTGGAATGATTGTGGCCAGAGCTGGGCACTAACATGTGGGAAAGGAAGTGGCAGACATCATCCATCATTATTACTTTTCTTTTACAGTCAGTGTTTAAAGTATGTATGATGTTGCTTCAGAATGATTTACACAACCCCCGCCGGTCTCTTTGCTGATTGCATGCTGCTTCTACAAGAGTGTGCAATACACAGTGACGTATGCATTGATTTAAATATACATGCTTGTGTGTGACAGATGGGAAAGACACGCTGCTTGTGACACAGCTCAGAGGTATCCTGCACGCCGCTCTGAACTGATTTTTAAGGTGCCTGTCTTATGTGTCAGGAATGAGGTAGTAATCTTAATCCCCTTCCTCCCCCTTGGAAACCTGAGGTATTAAAATAATATGATAACTGCAAATTCATGATCTACAGCCGCTGTCAGCCCAGCTGCTGCTCCTTATATTTTCAGTGTTCATCACAGGTCACACATAGACAAGCTGTCATAGGGACAACTGAGGGGTCTTTACAGTGTGCTGCTGATACAGCCGGTTCAAGTCTTATTCGGGAAGGTTAGACAAATGTATTGGAACCTGAAGCATCATAAATCTTCATTGATTTGACTCCGGAAAAGTAAAATCCGATTGCTTTATACGGGTTAAGGCATCTGATACTTCATCTATGCACCTTGATCTGCTTTGTAGTGTAAACCCAATCCTCTTTGTGTACATGTGAGATTCTCAGTTGTGTTTTTCATTTCTTATTGCAGAAGGATGCATGAGTAACTATATGAGGTTATGTGATTGTTATTCTATTAAGTGCAGATGTTTGGAGCGAAACTGTTTTTTGTTTACACTCTATACTTTCAAAATAAAACAAAAGGGATTGTTTTGTGGCTATAGCAGTGAAAGAAAGCGACAGTTTTCTAATTGCACTGTAAGGTGGCCATACATTGTACACATTTGTTTGTCCAGACGTCTCACCCCTGTTCAATTTTTGTTCAGCTAGCCCATCCATCGTGCAGACCAATGTAGTTCGCAATTAAGGTTCATCAGCACCACTAGCTGGCTGATTCTCATCGATCAAAAGAACAGATTTTTGTTTGAGCATGTGCAGGTTTCATCTTGAGATTTTTGTTGTATAACAACGCCACTAACCTGTCAATTTTGTAGCCTGCTTGAAAGACAAAATCCTCCAGTTGTACAGTGATTGAGGTTGTGCACTTCCCATAAACTGGCAGATTTTCAGATGAGATTATATTTATAGTCTGCAGTCTGCAGAAGAGAAAAAAAAAAGCGTGAGGTTCTCCCCAAACGATACCAGACCCTTTAAGTCTGGTAGGAATGTAAGGAGGGAAACCCCCACCCCCAGTTAAGAAGAAAAAAAAAGTATGTGGGGTTCTCCCAAAAGTCCATACCATGCCCTATAGGCCTGGTAGGAATTTTAAGGGGGTACCCCCCCCCCCCATGGAGAAAAACCCAGATGCCCCCCCTTGTGAATGAGTAGGGGGTACCTGTTTCCATACTCATTCACTAAAGGGTTAAAATTCAATGTACATCAAGAAACCACACTTTTAGAAAAATCATTTTAATTGAAAAAAAGAGTAAATTTATGACTATTCCTTTATTTTAAAAAAAATGGCTTCATCGATGTAATCCAGCATCAATCACGATGCACGAGGCCCGCCAAAATGGCTTACTATCCTATTTCTTCTTCCTGACATATTTTATTCCTATTACCTTAGTGACATACTAACCAGGAAGAAGCATGTGGCCACTGAAGTGTCAAGACACCTAGTGATGTGCATTGGAGGATTTCCCATCTATTTCTGTTCTGATAATCCAAAATTTTCTTTTACTTTCAGCAATAATGGTCACCAGGACAAATAGGAGGGGATGAATCTCTATGGATACACACACAAATATATACACTGTATATGTTATTTTAGGTCTACAATTGTAATGTACTGATTATATATATATATATAGATAGATAGATAGATAGATAGCAGAGAACGGTGGGGTATTATTTTATATGTAGGGGCAGAGAACAGTGGGGTATTATTTTATATGTGGGGGGCAGAGAACGGGGGAGAGGGTATTATATTATATGTGGAGATGTGGAAGGCAGCAATGTTTACATTGCTTTATGTTAATATTGTTGCGGTTTAATTTTTAAAAGTGTAATTTCATAAGATAATAAGAGGGTGGGTTTAGGGGCGGAGTTAAGGCCGAGGCAGGGTAGGGGTTAGGTGGGGCAACTGGTGGCGAGTAACTATTAAGGCCTGGCTAGTAGCTCAGGAAATCTATTCTATGAAGCTCTCTACGCACTGTTGTTGTGCCAATCTGAAGACCACATGACGTTTGGAGGTCTGTAGCTATTGACTCTGCAGACAGTTGGCGACTTCTGCGCACTGTGCACTTCAGCATGCGCTTACCCCGCTCTGTCATTTTATGAGGCCTACCTCTTTGTGGCTGAGTTGCTGTTGTTCCCAGTTTCTTCCACTTTGTTATAATACCACTAACAGTTGACCGTGGAATATCTTGTAGCCAGAAATTTCACGGAACACCTGAATCCAATGATTTGGAGGGGTGTCCCAATACTTTTGGTAATATAGTGTAGGTCTGCATTGAACTTCTGATAGAACCCAAAGGCGTTATCGCTTGTAAACATCTTAAGTAAATGGAATATGTTGTAGGATGCTGACATCCCCAGTCATTGTACTAGGTGAATGATTTGAATTACTTGACGTGTTCCACTGTGAAGATCTTCACACAGACGGTTTATAGAGAACAGTAAACTTCCTGTATGCTGTGCCTGGGTTACAGGAAACTCGCGGTGAGGCAAGACTCTACTAAGTTGTTGAAGGACCTGTTTGGTGTTACAGTGAAGACAGTGATTAAATATAAACTGCAGTATGAAGTGAAAATATGACTTCTACGTCAAAGTGATATTAAACCTTACATCTTTCTAAGATGCGGCTTGTTGCATGCAGCTTGTCCCACCGCTAACGCTTTTCTTCCATCTTCTTTGGTGGGCTCCCATGATTGCTGCTCCCACCTTCCCGTTTGTAGGTGACTCTGTTCTCCTGTGGGGTCCCATGGGGACACCCATTAGTGCTAGTTTCTGACATGCACAGGCAGCTGGACTAGGTGTGCATGCACGGTGGAGCATGCAGC